TAAAATGATATACAAATGAACGCGGAACGCGCAAAATCTGAGACAAACAAAACTCCGTGTACAAACATTTCATAAGGTTGTCTAAGGGGCGTGGCTAACTCGCAAACGGCGATAGGTCAATGGACCGATCCAGTAAGCCCCTCCCACTGCGCACGTGGGCAAATTAACACGTACTCCTCTCCAATGCCACGCAGCATTTTCCTGCCGCGCGCATAATACGCGCGTCCACGCATGACGGACTTTTGTGCACGCATGACGGACTTTTGTGCACGCATGTCAGACATACATCACGGTTGTGATTAGTCAGAATACCATGGGGCGGTGCTTACTGGATCGGTCCATTGGTTGGAACAATGATACTCGGAAATTGGGTCATCTGATTCCTGTGTAAAGATATCGATTGAATCAAGTCAGACATCAATTAAATCAAGTCAAGTAGCAATTGAACCAAGTCAGATACTGAATCTGAGTGCCGTTTGTCTCTTTCAGGAACATCGCTTGTTTGGGCTGACGGAGTATCGCCAACTGCCAGCAAACCTGCTCAGAATACCGTTTCTGTGATTGCGCTAGGGGTCGCGTTGATATTTGCATTTATCTTCATTGCCATTCTGTGCATCCGCTTGGTAAGTAGGGTTGTGGACAAAATGTGTCCAACTTTAATGACCACTAACCTCAAGTATTCCTCATCCCATACCCCACAAATGTTGTTATATTTATGTTTTGGACCACGAGCAATTGCTAGGGGCTATTTGTGACATTAGAATTTTGGTTTGCCTCTTAATGTAAAATCATATTCAAATTTGAGGATTCAGGACTGTTAGGGTTGAAGTTATGACGTACCCGAAGGGGAAGAAGTACTTGATGGGCGTGTGTAATCATGTTTTTGAATACTCAAAAAAACACTTTGTTGTAGTCCGTCAGTGAGTTCTTTTTCCTTGGACTTTGCAAGGCTTAAAACTGGTTGAAATCGGGCTGTCCCAAATAACAGGGAAATATTTTTGTCCGGATGGTACAAAATAGTTTATTTCCGTGTAAAACATGTTTAACCATCTGCATGTAAAATCATTATTAATCTTGGTTTTATAATATGCTTAATATAATCAACTTCATGATCAGTTCATTGAAATAAGCTTAGTATGTTGTTGTATTCTGATTGTTATCAATGCAGGTACATGTACAGAAGAAATGCAATGAATCCAATCGTGCACGGGAGAGGAGGCCTGACGCACAAGTTCGAACTACTTTCGGCGATAACCATGAAATGCAGCCATTTAAACCAAAAGGGTCAATTTCTGAAGTGTGAATCAAGTTTCTGGAGTGTGTAAGTTGCATCTTGGAAACCAGACCGTGTGCTCTTGTGTTACCAAATATAAGTGATTATGTGTAGCAGTAGCGTAGCAAGGTCATTTTGATTGGGGAGGGGAGTATGGAAAAGGGCACTTATACACATCCGTGCTATTTCGGTAGACACGTTTGGGTTTTTTCTCCACACTGTTGGCCTCCGTAAAATCAAAACTGAAAAGGGGGGGGGGGGTGCCATCTATCGATGGGAGCGCTGTTCAAAACCGACGATTATGCACACTAATAGACAACAGGTGTTTTCTAGGGCAATACATGCGCGAAATTCAAACAAAGACACACATAACGGCCGTTGACACAAAAATAGGGCAGGGTTTTATTAAAAGGGACACTTTGTTCAGAAAAAAAGGACTTGTTAATAGAAGAAGGACACTCTCTACAAATATTGGGGGAAGCGCTGGTGAAAAAAAGGGCATTTGAATGGAAACGGGCAGACCTTACAAAATATGGCTACGCCTATATGTAGAAAGTAAAACTGTGACCTTAAGAAGTAATTGAAAATATGATCTTATGAGTAGGCCTACTGAAATGTGTTTTGATTCCTTGCCGATGATAAGTGCTTTTAAGAGGATATCAAATTTCAAAATCTAACTGTGAAAAGGGACTCAATAGATGTACAATGTAATTATTATCTGAATGTAGATATTTTCAATCTGCTATTTATTTCCTGATATCTATGGGGTTTAGTGCATTAATGTGGTTTTCCATTTCCATTTCCATTTCCTGGTAAAGCTACGCAGTTAGCTTGCTGGGTGGTTAACATTTTGGGAGAAATACTGCTTGGATCGAAACATATAGGCCTATCTTACTCTCTCGCGGATTCTTTTGTATAACCTATAGTTTAACAAGGCAAGGTATTTGAATTTTGTAAATGTTGCCCAAAATTTGTTGGCACATACAAAACAATGTGGGTTCTGGGGGACGGACTATTTCGACGCTGGTGGCGTCTTTACACCACTATACTACTCGAAAATAGGCCACATACATATTACCACGGTCAAATCGTGGGACTAAAAAAAAATTGAAACCCCCCCCCCGAAAAAAAATGACAATCTCTTGGGGAGGGCTCAAGCCCCCGAGCCCCCCCCCCCCCCCCCGGGTGCGCCACTGACGTCGAGGTCCGTTTTCATGCACGTACGTCAACTTCATGTGCTGCAGTATATTGTTGGTTAGATAGCTGTTTATGCACTGAATATATAACGTTTATAATTTGCATGCATTATTGTGGAAGCCTGATGCATGGAGATTAAATACACCATATGGTGTGTGTATATGCATGAATTTGCGATAATACCAGGAAGTCTGCCAGCTGCTGTCAACAAAATATACAGTGTGTTTCAACAAAAAGGAAACCCAACTTCAAAGAATGAGTATGGACAGACGATATGCTAACTGGCTGTAAAACTGGTATCATCTGAAAACGTAATCTCTATGCTTTTCAATGATACTATGTTTAGGTTTTCTGAGTCATGCATCACTGAGCAACATTGTCTTGAAAACTGGATGAAAACATGCAGTTGGTTCACTTTCGAAAAACAAAACACTGGGCACGGTGTGCCTATTGTTACGGAAATGTCTGTGAAATGGCTTGAATGTTAATCCTCAGAAAAAATAGCACATTGTTTTGAACGTGGACTGGTCAAAACGAGAAATTCATGGCAAACAATGAAATCCAGTTTTGAAACCAACCCTTTTTTTTTTTTGGGGGGGGGGGTCCTTTTTATGCACTCGATCGTGTCTTCTTCTTGAATACTTATACTCATGCACACCATGCCTATGAAAGTGAACCAACTGCAATTCAAAATCTCATGACCGTGAGTGGCGCTCAGTGATGCATGACCCTGGAAATGCATGTAAACAAGGTATCATTGTAAAGCATAGAGATTACGCTTTCAGATGATACCAGTTTCATAGCCAGTAAACATTTAGTCTGTCCATACTGGTTATTCAAAATTGGGTTTCCTTTTATTGAAACACCCTGCATACAAGCCACACGTATAAAATACTGTCGTGATAAGGTCACGACATGCTATACTACACGTACGATGCATGTTTACGTTCATAAATATGCCACAACTTCTTTGCATGCATCCGGCTTTGCCATTTCAGTTCTTTTCATTGTAATATTTAACTCGTATAACAAAATACCCAAACATGAAATTGTGTGTTTTTGTTGTCAACCCAGAACGATTCAGTAGGTCTAAGTGATGTTTTTCGGTGCACATTTATTTTATTTTATACTCATTTGCAAACAAGCGTGTCTTATTTTCTCCGCACATAGAGATAAGAATAAACACTGCTAATATTTATGGGTGCTTATTTTTGATTCGGTTATTGCCAAGCTGTCGTAAATATCAACCAATCGCCACACCACACACTGGGAATCCCACTCATTCCGGACCCTTCCCTCGATTGTCACGTAGGATCATAGGTTCTCCTCAACGGACAAGTAGGGCGATAAAACTCTAGTTTTGATGGGTTTTTGTTTCTTTGTTTCTTTGGGTTTTTTTATTGTAACATTTGTTTGGATTCCAACAGAAACAAAGGAGAGCAACAAAGTGAAACAACGTCTTTCACGCAAGTATGATATGCATAAAAGGTTGTGTGCGCGTGTGCCTATATGATAGGGGTCTCATTTGATAAAAGCAATGTGGAATTTAAAAACATTCTAAAAACATTAATCTTCACTTGATACAAATGTATAAGCTATGGATTTTAGGCCAATAATGTTTTGTTTAAAGGATAATTTCTTGTTACGAATTTCGTAATTTAATTATGATCATTATAGAGTCTCTTAATTATTACAACAAAGAATATCGTCCAAATTTAATAGAATTGACTTATACGAGTAAATGTGTTTAGTTTGAAATTATTCTGCTTTCAGTCGTTGTAATGTATGCCTTGATGTGTTACAAGATAAACTTGACTCATTGCTGGTATAATTGTATGAGCATCCCGACCGAGTATTCGAAACACAGAGAAATTTCAATGGGGCCTCTGAAGGGGAGTGGGGGTAGAATCCTTTACGAGGTTGATCTCTCTTCTCAATCTTAAGCTTGTTCATGCAATTTTTATGCCCATTAGTTGAGAGACTTCAACTCAACATGTCTATTCATGCTTTGCTTCAGGGAACATCAAACCATACCATATGACGCCGACTTTGAGTGTGTCCATTTGGTTTGATATTAATTGTTATTAATGATTATCGAGCCAGAGACAAGACCGAACCGGACATAAAACCAAGCTTGAAAACAAAACAATCCATGTTGGCATAGTGATACTTTCCACCTCAGTGAATCAGTGTAGGTTTTCAATCCCTACCTGATTACCTTGTTTGGCCTGGAATGTCATTATTTTCCCTTCAACCACTTGAACTCTGATGATTTCCCTCCTCGCTGTCTAGTCTAAACTTGTTTACTTATAGTAGTGTATTATGAGTGTGTTGAGACCAAATCAAGGCTGCAAATCAATATGTCAACATGCTGAGCAGATAGCAGAGCAGCTGTCACGATATAGACACGTGATCAGGGCTATATAAGCAACCTTCACCCACATATCCACATAGCTACAACTCGCTCTCCCTCACTAGGTTTCACTCGCTCTTCCCTCACCAGTGCCCTTGGGATATTTTCTGACATCGAACTTGAAGTCTACCTAGAGTAACGACTAATTGGCCATACATACTAGAACACCTGCTTCAGAAGGACCTTGTGTCAACTATCTCACTTTGTATCGGTAAGCAGGACTAGTGACGTATTTACAGTGTGCTTGTTGGTGGGTGCATTATTTTGTATTGATAAGAGTTAATTATGAAGAATTGTAAACAGGACGATTAATGATAAATTGTCAATTCAGGCTTCTAGCCAGGCATACAATAAGATATCGGGCCGATACGCTTCGAAAAAAATCCGATACGCTTGAAGTTAACCGATATGCTATCGATACGCTTCACATTTTTCGTGACAAAAATAAACTACCCAAGGTTTTCTCACTACTTGTGTATTAAATGTACTGTTATAAAATAAGATCTGTTGCTGAAACGAATTATCAATTGTTACCTGAGGCAAATCATTTTTTTAAACGAACAGTGGAAGCACATCCCACGAAAAGATACCGAGGTGTGCTACCGAGCGCTGGCGGTATACACTGCCGCACTGGCCGGCCGGCGGGCCGTGCGCGAGCGAACTCTTTCGTTTAGTTGAAATCCGATGTGATTGCATGCGTGCCCCGGTCTAGACTTGAAATCAAGTCTGTAATGAGTGGTTTTAATCGCGTCCACTGCGCGCGACTGCCAAGCTCTGTGCCGGGGGTACGACGTACCGCATGCTGTAGCGGGGACGCTACGTACATTTTCGACCCCATGCGTGTGCGATCCCATGCGTGTGCTGCATTACAGACTTGAAAAACTCGTTGTCAGTTGTGCAAAGGCAATGAGACTTGCAACCAAAATTGGACGGGGCAGTCTGATTGGTTAAGAATCAAGAAAATATGAATATTCAACAGACATCTCTTAGCCAATGCGTTTTGGCTTGCACGACGAGACGACACACACAAGTTTATATACACACCTGATTATCGCGGCATTCACCAAACATTCTCAATCGCTTACATCAAATTTCTTCGGATTTCCTATCGCCCACAACGTTAAAATGGAGGTGTTGGAAGCTAGCACCGAAAGGTATAGAGGTTCCATTGACCATGGGTTGCGAAAATTGGGGATTTCCAGTGCTCTGGATCATGGACTGGGGTTCTCCATAACACTTTATAAACTGGGTCACAAGCAGAATATGGAGCCAATGCAAATTTTTAGAGAAACTGTACAAAAGGAATGCACCAAAATCAAGCTTTTCTACAGAGTATTTGGCATGCACATTTTGTTGATCTGCTAAATACATACATTTCACTGATTTCGATTACACAGCTCCAAAGCCAGACATCAAGTATCTACGCAAACACCTACAAGTGTCCCCAACCTCTGGGATTTTTTCACCTGGAAAATTACAATGGCATTTGAAAGGCTTACTGGCATACAGTCTGGATTTGAACAAAAATACAGAAAGCAGTGAGAAATTCTACATGCGTGCCATACTATTTATGGAAACTTCTGCCCAGCACCCAGTAGGTGATGTACAGGGGAAACCCCCACTGTACAAATAAATGATGACCTTGTTATCTACCTGACATGGTACAGTCCATTTTCAGAAAGGGAGTGCTATGATAGCAGATGTCAGTTAATGGTTGTTTGTCTATCAAGATTTATACTCCTTGTTTATCAGTGGTCAGTTATCTCCCGCCAAATTTATATTGTGTGAAACTAAAAGAGTTTAACTGATTTCAACAGGCATCTCTTAGCGATGCGTTTTGGCGTGCACGACGACACACACAAGTTTACATACACACCTGATTATCGCGGCATGTTAGTGTAGTCTTCACCAAACATTCTCAATCGCTTGCATCAAATTTCTTCGGATTTCCTATCGCCCACAACGTTAAAATGGAGGTGTTGGAAGCTGGCACCGAAAGGTATAAAGTTCCCATTGACCTTGGGTTGCGAAAATTGGGGATTTCCAGTGCTCTGAAACCCCAACAAACTGAGGCAATCGCAAGTTTTCTTGACGGCAACGACACCTTCGTGAATCTACCCACCGGGTACGGGAAACCCCTGATATTACCAGCTACTGTAGCCCCTTTCTGTATCGACTTCAAAAAGGAAGGTTCATATCACGTAATGTAGGCATACTTTCTTCACTCACGAAGCTTTAGAGTAGAATACAACCACAATATAATTACACATGATTCAACTAATTAAACCAACAGGATGAACTAGGACCATCGATCAGTGCAATAACCGTGCGCAACTAAACGATCGTTACCCCGGCCGAATCTTCAAGAAGTAGGCCTACAACTCCTTCTCCTAGTAAAGTAGTACAGTTCCGTACAGTACTTGTGCATTTGATCATGTATTCCTTACTCCTTGATAATGACTCGCCGGCTATAGACAAAGCGGCGAAGCCACGAAGTGACTGGAGCGACTGGAGCATTTTCCAACTTGCCAAAAATTTCTTATGTTTTTCTTTATAATCCAAATTTTGCTACCCCAAAAGGGTAGCAAAATTCCAACCAATCATTAGCCTTTTAGGGCGCGAGTGGGCGTGGCTACCACCAGGACGCGCGCGCCCCGGATGTTGACGCAAAATTAAAAAAAAAAAAAGTCTAGTTTTCCACGAGATCGTGACTGCCTAATTTTGTTCTTTCATTATCTTATTTTAATTTTACTTATACAAGTATTTTAAGAAATTATTTGAGTGTATGAACTTATTTTTTCGTCTGAACTTACAGTTATTTCCTCTTACGTTTTCCATTACTCACCCTTCTTTCACAAATGGAAGCAAGTAGGCAAAATCCGCGTTGTGATTAGTTAACTTTTCAGCACTCTACTTATTTGCCTAAAAATATGAATAACTCAACAAAATCAAGTTAGAAAAGGCCTCGTGGCTTCGCCACTCGTGCGTGCTGACTAAATCTTTGCTCCAGTCGCTTCGTGCTTTCGCAGCTCCGCCGCTCTAAGCCACGATGGCCTGGGCGAATGGCTAAGGGTGATATGAACATGGTTGCGATTATTTTACGTCGGGATGCAGCTTGTTCAAGAGAATCACACAATTTCTCAGTTTTGTGACCTGAGCATTATTGTTTTACTTGATGCCGACAGTCCGTCGTGGCGCAAGCAAATCGCGGGTCGACCTGAGGCCGGCTTAACTTGCCTTCCAGTTCCACCTCTATGGCCCAGATTCGATTCCTGCCCAAGTCCACACATGGATTTGGTTTGTAGTCTTACCTCATTCCATGTTTTCTTACAAGAAAATTCTGTGGTTTTCCTCCCGTCTCTCAAACGATTAAGTTAATGTTGTCATTTACAAAGCTTGAAAAAAATATATATTCAGTGAGTAACTGGGCGTATGGAAAACAAAGCTAATGACTCAGTAAGACCGTTCGCCTTTGTTGGCGACGTTCGTCGTTCGTCGACGACAAAAAGTCCTTCCCACTTGCGCAAATGTCATCATTGTTCGCGTAAATTAAATTAATGTTGAACGCATCAGGACTGGTAATGAATGTACCATTTCTACAGCGTATAACACATCGAATTTGGGGCCTCAGCATGGCCTTATTCATGGCAAGGATTTAAAAGTAAAAGGTCTTTGATGTTTCACAAGGCTTATAATAGATGTAATAAAATATTAACAACATAAATATATTGTGTTTGTTTGCAGTTTTGCTTTCATTAACAGAGACAACAACTGATGAGAAATGCAGTGGCTATCATTGTTGATATGCTGTAAGTACATTATGTAATCTCAATTCATTGTAAATCGCAATATTTTGTAGTTCCAATCTATCAAAAAAAGAGCTTGGGGAATGGACGGAAAGTACCGATTTGGGTACTAGGGCAAATACTGTTCGGTAAATCCTACATCATTGGGAGAAATCGCTGAACCACGCTTTGTGCACTACTGCAATGGTTTTCCCTTAATATTTTTTCATTTGTAACTGCATTCACACACAATCAAGCAAGGGCAAATCTGGATGTCTTTTGGTTCATTAAAAAAATGGTCTTCAAATCAAATTTGACTTCATTTGATTGGACTATATTAAATGTCAAAAAACATTTGCCTTTAGTAAAAACAGCACAACTCCAGGAATAGTTTTGCAGAGCAAGAGATTTAGACGATTAAAAATAAAATCAGATATCTTGTTTCAGGCGGATTCGTCCTAGCGATCACTGATGGAACCGTGTTCTTGGAACGAGGCAGCAGAGGGATCGTGCCCTGTCCTCTCGTAAAATCTCGCGAAATCTCCCGAAAAAACGTTGACGCGATGTTCTGGTACTATGGCTCAACGAGCGACACATCCTTGCTCATCTGGTACTCCTTGGGACGAGTGGCTCCCCTGCCAAACGGGATCCCAGAGGGCGTCTATGATATCGATAATGAGTTCAGTCTCGTCATTCAGAACGTCACCGCCTCCAATGAGGGAAGCTACTTTTGGAAGTTGAAACCACATTTGGTGATAGAAGAGGGACAAGTTGAAGTTTGTGTCAAGGGTGAGCGATTACACGCCGTGATCTGATCTGATTTCCAAATCTTTGGCTTATTTGGCAATTTTTTTTAAGCGAATGAGGGCGCTCGACCATCGTAGAAAACAAATTGTTTATAAAAGCAACTAATAAACTTTACTTAAATTTAACAAAAAAAATGTAAAAATATAATTTTTGAACTTTAGCAACATGTAAACGTACGTCAGTAAACTTCGAGTCACGTCTGTTTATGCCCCGAATAGCGAAGTTAGAATTATTACAGCCCGATTCCCCCAAAACCATTTTGATGCGAATTATTGTTATTATTATTATATTATTATTATTATTATTATATAACAGCCACGTTAACCGTTTACTTTCTGAACTCTTCCCACCAACAGTTTCCCCAAGACGTCCGTATCCTACCGTCATCGGCTGCAATCAAGACCACGACGCAGACACGTGTGAGATGAGAGTACGACACGACAGCACGGTGCATAACCTGACCTGCGTCATGGAGCAGGTCAAACCTGCTGTTGAACTGAGATGGATCCACCTGTTTTGGGGCGGGAAGACTGAACTAAAGGCCTCCACATCAGTCTGGCCTGAAGTTCTACCCGCCTACACTGGTAAGCAGCATTCTTCCCAACATAATGCTGTACATTGCTGTTTAGTTTGACTCTTCGCCTAATTATACTCCCAGAAAAGGAACAAGTCGTCTTTAAACCCTACTTTACATATTTTGCGAAACCGCAAGGCTAAAAGTAACAACCCGGTTTTCCATATCCTGGAAATGCGGTACTAAATAAACAGGGATGGTAATGTCAACTAGCTTGCAGTATATCGATACCTCCGGCCGTTCACTGATGATTTCTTGACATGTACGGCGCCACATTTCTGTCTTGACGGTTAGGCCCTATGCCGGGCTTGCTTATGTAAGGTGTTTGTATGGAATGAGATCTCATAAAGCTGTTTGAGATTTCCTCTTACACTAGAAATATAGTATGTTCTTTTAATCAGATTCATCTTTTTCAAAATCTGTCGAAATATATCCATCGATTTGCAATCTACCGATCAGGGGCGTCGTTGAGGAACAACACCTTTTCGACTTCAGCATCAGTCCAAGTGACAACAGTTGATGGCGATCATGAAGTATTCGTGTGTAAGGCAAAAGGGGTTGTTGTTGGCAAAGGCGCACGCATGAGGGTACGCATTACCAAAGCTCATCACACCACAGTGTCTCATGAGGAAGTTCAGACCGACAATCCAGGTAGGTACAAGTGTCAGGTCAAAGCCATACATTAGGGGCATTAAATACATATGGAATAATTTGCTTCTTATGTACTTTGTTCGTTTCTAAATATCAACACCAGTACAATCCAAAGAATATTCAGTATCTGAAATTTCAGCACAGTGGATGTTAATTACACGTTTTGAGAAAACAGTCTGAGGACGGACACAGCACACTGTCCGAAACGTCGAGTTCTACGCTCAACCAATCGGTTCTTTTCAGAACCACACTTCTTCCAAGAACAGATTTCTTTCCACATGGTGTTACCTGCAATTTTTTTCTATTTTATCTCATTCGCAATGCAAAGCTTCAAGTCATATATAGCCTGTCTCCAAAAAAATGGTACAATCAAAAAAAAAATTTTAATATTAAATATTAAATCGTTTTGAGCATCACATTAAAGAAAAAAGACCAGACTTTCCAATACTTTTTGTTTTCTCTCATTTGCTTTTGTCAATCGAGAGATAAATCCAGTTTACTGCAGAACACAAAAATCGAGTTTGTGCCAAAGTACTCGAAACACCTCTGCCCATGCATAAAAGTGGCATAAAATCGATTTTGGTGTATCACACTAAATTGATTATATCTCTGAATTGACAAAAGCAAATAAGATCAAACAAACACTATTGAAAAGCCCAGTCGACGATTTCGTCAGTGTAGTACTCTTTTTTTAACAAAAATTACAATTGTCTGTTCTAAATGATAGCAATTTCACTGGTATGATCCTTAAACCAAATAAAGCCTATTGACGATAATTTAAATTACGTTTTGGGCAAATGCAAATGATCCTGCCTGAAAACTGACAGTCCGTGATTCCGTATGTCACTGATGTACCTCCAGCTATATAAATACTATTTTCTCTCGTTGAACCATGTTTCTGTCTTTAAGCCCCACCAGGCTTGCCATAAGGCATTGAATGAGATCTAGCCATTAACCTTGTTAAATCCTTGCTCAACTAGGCTTTCAAAACCAGCCCCTTCTCTCTTTTCGACTAAATAATTGTCTTACCTCTTACACTAGAAATGGTACGTTCTTTCAAAATCGATGGATTTCAATTTATCAATCAGGGTCGTCGTTGAGGACCAACACCTATTCAACTTCAGCATCAGTCCAAGTGCCTGCCGTTGACAGTCAGGAAGCATGCACGTGTAAGGCAACGGGTGTTGAAGGCAAAAACCAACGCATAATAGTACGCCTTACCAAAACTCATTACATCCAATCATCCAACAATCTAGGTAGGTATAGCAGTGTCGTGTCGGTGCCATTTTTGAGGGGTTAACCGTAAACCTGTTCAAATCGGTAACCAGATGTTTTTACATAGTAAGACTTGGAAATCTCACGAATTGAGAGAAAATTTAAAAAATCTTAATACAGTGAAAAGATAAATGTGTCAATGGTGAAACTGGTGAATGGGTGAAGTGTCAATAAAATTAAGGAGTGAAAATATGCGCATAGAAAACCTCGTCCCCAGTGGTTACTTTACTGTCGACCTCTTTTCTATGATGTGGGGAATTTCCGAAACAAACGCTCGAATTCCTTCCAGTTCAATAAAGATGCAGCAAGACCTTTGTGCAACTTCACTGGTCAGCTCTTTTGTTATGTGTAGTATGTGTAGGACTGAAAATGGACCGTTATTGCCAGCAGAAGTCGTGCATGCGCACTAGTTTCCCACATTTTTCCCGGGGAGATTTCAGCGGATTCCTAAAGGTTGCAGACCAGTAAATAAACTTCCATAGACCCCAATATTAAATACTCCCACTTCAGAAATTCGGGGAAAATACTCACAACTCTCCAAGGTGTTCGGGACACACATCAATTTAAAGCTTATTTCATCATCTTTCATTTTCTTTTCAAGTTTTGTGGGGTTAACTTATGACTTTTAGGAGAAATTTCCATCCGAAGATGATCATGCCTAAAAATAGTCCTGAAGCCCATCGCCATGTTGAAAAACGATGCCTACACTCCATTGCGAAATAGAGCGCTTTAAGGGCCCAATTTCATCCAAACTGAACGGAACTACAAGCTCACAGTCCGGTGCACAGCTTCCACCCATATTTTTTACAAACCCCCAAGTTCTTGGCCCACAGCATGCTCAAATACTGAAGATTTTGAGGGCATGCAAATCGTGATTTGGCCTGCGTAGGCAATTTCGGACCGATTTACTGGTCTGCAACCCTAGACGTTGTTCTGACAAGTCCGTGGGCGATATTGGTTGGTCGTGATATCGCCCTCTCACGGCGGCGGGTTATCGCGGCCGCGGGTTATCGCGTATATCAAACCATCAACGTATAGCCTCTAGTCTAATAAACCCCTTGCAAGAAGAAGTATGTTTGGTTTTGTTTGTTTTTTTGTCCTTTAATTCAGTGACAATACAAATATAAAATGTGTACGAATGCGTATCGCACAGGGCAGGAGAAGAAACGGTCCTCGGATGTGACGTCAGACGCAAGGGGTCTATTGACCTATCGCGTTAGAATTGCGTTAGTATCGCGTCAACGCAGCTTGTGAAATATTGTCCAATTAAAATGATATACAAATGGACGCAGAACGCGCAAAATCTGAGACAAACAAAACTCGGTTTACTTGTAAGCATTTCATATATCTAAGGGGCGTGGCTAACTCGCAACCGGCGATAGGTCAATTGGTTGGAACAATGAAACTCGGAGATTGGGTCATCTGATTCCAGTGTAAAGATGTCGATCGAATCAAGTCAGATATCAATTGAGGTTAGTCAGACATCAATTGAATCAAGTCAAGTAGCAATTGAACAAAGTCAGATATTGCATCTGAGTGCCGTTTGTCTCTTTCAGGATCAACGCTTGTTTGGGCTGACGAAGTATCACCAACTGCTAACAAACCTGCTCAGAATAGGCCTACCATTCCTGAGATTTTACTAGGGATCGTGTTGATATTCGCATTTATCGTCATTGCCGGTCTCATCCGCTTGGTAAGTAGGGTTGTGGACGAAATGTTTCCAACTTTAATGACCCCTATCCTCAAGTATCCCTCATCCTATACCCCCACAAATGTTGGTATATTTATGTTTTGGACCACGAGCAATTGCTCGAGGCTATTTGTGACCTTAAAATATGCTTTGCCTCCAAAATCATATTCAAATTGGAGGATTCAGGACTGTTAGGGTTGAAGTTATGACGTACCCGAAGGGGAAGAGGTACTTGATGGTCGTGTGCATTCATGTTTTTGAATACTCCAAAAAATTCTTTGTTGTAGTCAGTCAGGGAGTTCTTTTTCCCATTGTAGAGGACTAACGTGCAGGGTTTAAATCTGGTTGAAATTGGGTCGTCCCAAATAACAAGGAAATATTTTCGTCCGGATGGTACGAAAAAGTATTTCTGTACGAATCATGCTCTAAACCATTGGTAAAGTCTTTATAATCTTGATTTTGTAATATGCTTAAAACAATCAACTTCATAATCAGTTTATTGATAATAAGCTTATTATGTTGTGGAACACTGATTGTTACAACTGCAGGTATATGTACAGAGGAAATACATTAAATTCAATCGTGCACGGGAGAGGAGGCCTAACTATGAAATGCAGGCAGCCGTTTGAACCAAGAGGGTCAATTTCTGAACTGTGAATCAAGTTTCTGGAGTGTGTAAGTTGCATCTTGGAAACCAGATCGTGTGCTCTTGTGTAACCAAATGTAAGTGATTATGTGTAGCATTGGCGTAGCAAGGTCATTTTGATTGGGGAGGGGGTGGAATAGGGCACTTATACACATCCGTGCTATTTAGGTAGACACTTTTTTTTTCCAGACTCTTGACCTCCGTAAAATCAAAACTGAAAGGGGGGGGGCTGGTACCATCTATTGATTGGAGCACTGTTCAAAACCGACGATTATGCACACTAACAGACAATATAAGGTGTTTTCCAGGGCAATACATGCGCGAAATTCAAACAAAGGCACACATAACGGCCGCTGGCACAAAAATAAGGGAGCTTTTTTTTGAAGAAGGACACTTGTGCAGAAAAAAGGCCATTCTTTACAAATATTGGAGGGAGTGCTGGTGAAAAAAAGGGCCTTTGAATGGAAACGGGCAGACCTTACAAAATATTGGGGGGAGATACCCCCCCCCCCCCCGGCTACGCCTTTGCGTAGAAAGTAAAACTCTGACCTAAAGAGTGAATTGAACATATGATCTAATGAGTATAGGCATACTGAAATGTGTTTTGATTGCTTGCCGCCATGATAAGTATTTTATTAGGATATCAAATTAAAACATCTAACTGTGAAAAGGGACTTCAATAGTTTTACAGTGTAATATTATATGGAGTGTTCAATCTGCTATATATATTTCCTGATCTATCTATGGGCTTTTGTGCATTAACGTGTATTAACAGAAATCGAAAAGTTATTATATATTTTTTTTATACAGGTCGTTATTATGAATCGGTATTGGGGTGTATTGTAAAGTAGTTAAGTAAACCTTAAGGTTGACTGAAATTTTTACTAAAAAGTACTAAGTTCTTATGATTTGGTTGGTTTTTGTTTTTGTGTTATACTTTTCTTACCTGCGATATTTTTAGTTCCGGTTTTCCTTTTGTTGTTTATACAAAGTAACCGAGGACATTATTCTTAACAAGTTAACATTATTCTTAACAAGTAAATAAAACTTGTAATGCTTATATTTATCAGATGTACAACAAAACAAATACGTAGTATCAGGAAATATCTTACTCGTTGGGATACTCAAGTGTTGGTTCACTCACTCGTTACAAGTCGTACTGATTATTGTAATAGTCTACTGTATGGTGTAGCACAGTTCGATTTAATGAAACTTCAGAGAGTGCAAATCGTAGCAGGGTCATTCCATGTCAGACCAACGAACTTTTTTACCTCGTGTCTTCCGATGTTGTTGTGCTTGTAGGTCCTGATGAGCAATGAATGCACACCATTTTTTTGCCCGATCCGACCTACCATGTGGTCAGGGCAGAAACTATAAAAAATGGACATTTTTAGAGTAAAATACCACCATTTTTTCATCGAATATATGCAAATTTGGTATCAAAATAATAAGAATTGCATGCTCAAATCAACTTTTTTTCGTTAAAATTAAATTTTGTGAAAAGTAGGTCACGTGACCTTTAATATGTTATCGTGACTTTTGACCAAATTTATGTACTAATGTATCATTCCCAAAATCAACGAAATTAAAATGACTCAATACAGCATGTCTTCCTCTGTCAGAATCCACTAAAAATCGGTTGGGGTCTTCAAAATATACAACTTTATGACTATTTTTGTACAGTTGGTAGGTTACAAATTAGTCAATTTATAGACTTTACATTAGAAATCCAGCAACACAACTTACTATTCTGTTTCTAAAGCTACTTAAATTAATCTTAGTTTGGGCATTTCTCATGTTTATAGGCTGGTGAGGTCTAACAAGACTCACAATATAAATTATACTTTTCTTACCTGCGATATTTTTTTCCGGTTTTCCTTTAGTTGTTGCATTAACGTGTATTAACAGAAATCGAAAAGTTATTATATATTTTTTTATACAGGTCGATATTATGAATCGGTATTGGGGTGTATTGTAAAGTAGTTAAGTAAACCTTAAGGTTGACTGAAATTTTTACTAAAAAGTACTAAGTTATTATGAATCAACATTTGGTTGGTTTTTGTTTTTCTGTTATACTTTTCTTACCTGCGATATTTTTAGTTCCGGTTTTCCTTTTGTTGTTTATACAAAGTAACCGAGGACATTATTCTTAACAAGTTAACATTATTCTTGATAAGTAAATACAACTTGTAATGCTTATATTTATCAGATGTACAACAAAACAAATACGTAGTGTCAGGAAATATCTTACTCGTTGGGATACTCAAGTGTTGGTTCACTCACTCGTTACAAGTCGTACTGATTATTGTAATAGTCTACTGTATGGTGTAGCACAGTGCGATTTAATGAAACTTCAGAGAGTGCAGAACGTAGCAGGGTCATTCCATGTCAGACCAACGCACTTTTTACCTCATGTCTTCCGATGTTGTTGTGCTTGTAGGTCCTGATGAGCAATGAATGCACACCAATTTTTTGCCCGATCCGACCTACCATGTGGTCAGGGCAGAAACCATAAAAAATTGACATTTTTAGAGTAAAATACTACCCTTTTTTCATCGAATATGTGCAATTTTGGTATCAAAATAATAGGAATTGCATGCTCAAATCAACTTTTTTTTCGTCAAAATTAAATTTTGTGAAAAGTAGGTCACGTGACCTTTAATATTTTATCGTGACCTTTGACCAAATTTATGTACTAATGTATCATTCCCAAAATCAACGAAATTAAAATGACTTAATAGAGCAGGTCTTCTTCTATCAGAATCCACTATAAATCAGTTGGGGTCTTCAACATATACAACTTTTTGACTATTTTTGTACAGTTGGTAGGTTACAAATTAGTCAATTTATAGACTTTACATTAGAAATCCACCATCACAACTTACTATTCTGTTTCTAAAGCTACTTAAATTAATCTTAGTTTGGGCATTTCTCATGTTTATAGGCTGGTGAGGTCTAACCAGACTCATAATATAAATTATACTTTTCTTACCTGCGATATTTTTTTCCGGTTTTCCTTTAGTTGTTTATACAAAGTAACCGAGGACATAATTCTTAACAAGTTAACATTGTGCTTAACAAGTAAATAAAACGTGTAATGCTTATTATTATCAGATGTAAAACACAACAAATGCGTAGTAATTTTCATTGTATAATGGTTTTACTCTATAATGGCATAGTATTGTAGTTTTGATTAAAATAGTACGGTTTTATCCTTCAAGTAATTATTGTAATGCGCATTAAAACATATGTTTATGCATTTTGCGCAATATTAATGCAATTATTATTATTAATACTAATCAATGTAATTGATTTCATGTTTTAATAACTTTCAATTAAAAAAGAACATTATGCTGGAGCAGATAGAGTTGCAGAGTTCATATTTCATACGTTTTGAGGAAAATGTTTTCACCCATTATTTTGAAGTTAATATTAAAATGTGGCAAGACAGCAGTACCTGACCAAGGGAATAAAACACGACATTGACAGCACCAGTAAGTTAAACAGAGAAATCTGATTGGGAGAAAAATGTCAGTAGTGTTTACATGGATGGAAAACAGAAGTAGCCCTTTATGTTAAAATTTAATGAATTTAAAACACTTTAGAAGTCTTTTCAGGAAGCCTCTCTGTTTTATGTGGTTAAAAAATGTATAAATGTATTTTACTAGTATTTGTTTTCCGCAATATTGGCAATTTAGCAATAAGCAAAAGCACCTTAAGACAATTTCTTTCATGTCTAAGCATCTGTTCCTTAATGCAACTTTTCGCAATAAAAAAAGCTTGAATAATCAATAATCAAATGTCTATAGTTGCTCTTTTGGAAATTGACGCTTCTTTGGGTCATCGCACCATTCATCAGCGTCTCCCAAAAAAAGAGTAAGGCACGTTTCCGATTTAAGACGATTATTTTTGTCCAGATGATATCACAAGAGGGCGGTATAGACGTCCACCGTTAATCACAGTCACGCCATCATCGCCCAGAACACGGCAAAGGTCAAGAGGAAGATGCTGCTTGAAACTGCAAGAAAACAATGAGAAATATCAAGAGCTTGCTTTCAAATCTTGTGGCTACTTTTGAAAAGAAACATTGTAGTGATATCCTAAATTAAGTTTTCGGCGAGAATTCGGCGGGTCCCGAAGAGTTTTACAGGGGGCATGATATGATAACACATACTTTGTTTTGTTTTTTGAAAGCCTTGTTTTAAGGGGAAAGCATCATAATATGTCAAGAGGGCGCCCTCTAGATGGCCCTATATTGTCTGCGTCATGTCGCATCCTTTTGCCAAAGACGGTTGTGGTATTAAAGTTACTGGCACCCAGTAACAATTCAAGCAACGTTTGAACTTCAGACACGCCTTTGTCGTTGTAGATTGAGCAGGTCAAATACATCCAAACTTGAGGTTTCGTACATCAACCTATATAACTCCTGTTTAAAAAGGCATCATTACAAAAATATGCCCATCGTCCCTGAAATTGTTAAATGAAAAACTCCTGTACTTTGAAGTCAGAAAGTATACTTAGTGGGATAAATTTCGTTTTTACCCAACATTTTCCAAGAAGAGCCTGGGTGTTTTAATATAGTTAGAAGATTATTGACGAACTTTTCACCGAACATCCTTCTGGGAAATCCCCCAAATTCCAAGGTAGAGGCCTGCCGTATACATACCCAGGCTAGGTGCAGCACTGTACGACAGAAGCTGTGATTTCACGCCTTTCCAGTAAACGCTGGCTGGACCCCTCACGATGGTTGCCCTGGAGATGACAAGAATTATCGCAGAGGTTTTTGCTTTTATAGGACAATTTCACGAAGAATTCTGCTTCCGAAGAAATGTGTGTTTTAATGAGCCATAGATTTGTGACAACTAAATACACAGAATAGCTTCAGCAACACTTACTGGAATGCAACAGATCCTTGATCATCGGATGGCGGCATCCACGTTGCAGTTATCTCCCTCTTGGCATTCTTGTTGTTGTGGGACCAGG